GCAAGGCATTTTAGCAACATAACAACGCAGTAACGAGACAAATTTGTAAAAAGAAATACACAATAGCAAAATTTGAAGTATGGATTTACAACGACCAACGGCGAAAGCAAATAGCACGGTATTTTTAATTAACTTTGATTAAACGGGTTTTTTTCAAATTACAGCAATACTGTTTGCCACCGGACGGACAGCCCTACGCAGGGGGAGACACTGTACTCAGGGGCATGGAACATTACCCTGTGCCTCTCTCTTTTCTGCAGCAACTGCCATTCACCTGCTGCTGGAAACCAGGAAAATGAAGCTCGTGACAGCATACCTCTCACCCTCACAACCCTGGATCGAGTCGGACCTTACCAAGTGCCTGAGCGATGGTATCCCGGTCCTATTGACCGTTGACCTCAACTCGAAGCACATGGAATGCAATTCTAGGCTGATCTCTGCGAGGGTTTCGCTCCTGCGGGATTTTGCTAACAGTAACTCCTGCTTCATCTACGGGCCGGATTCCACAGCTCCTTACCACAACGAAACCTTCTATTTCCTTGACATGCACTTGTCAAGGACGTCGTCCTACCGGTGTACCTGACTATCTTCCCCGCGCTCAGCTCAGATCACCTGAAAGTCCAAATCGACACCACTTGCCGATCATCCTTTCAGAAACTACCAAACCTCCCGGACTTCGCGGGAATTTGCCTGTGGTGCATACCAGACTTACCTCGAAAGCAGACTCTCTGGGAATCCCGTGGGAAAAGATGTGGAGGCAATCGAAAATTGCGTTTAGGAGCTGACCAGCGCCATCCTCCAGTCCACAAAGGCGTCTGCTCCCAAGCCGCAATGCCCGGTAGTATTCAGCATGAAATAACCTAATCAACGGCCGAAGAGGGGTGCTAGGTCACCAGGGACACTGCTCTGAAAGCTCAGGTTAAAGGACTCCAGAGTTCGTGTACCTATCGGCTCAACGAGTGAAGGAACGGACAGTGGGGCGATACGCTGGAATCCTTAGACTGTAAAGAGCAGTCGATTTGAAACATGAAAAAGCGGATTTTGCGAGTCCCCACTACGTCGCCTTCATTGCTAGTGCCGGGAGGAGTAGCTCCCTCCGACTATGAGAAGGCGAAAGCCCTGGCCGACAAACTTGATTACCAGTTTCAGCCGGTGAGAAACCCGTCGACGCGGCTGTTATTGAAGTGGATAACGAGGCAATGATAACATTCGAATGTGCACACGGAAGTGAACCGAAATTAACCAGTCACACCGACGTCCTTCAGGCCATCAACGGACTGAAGGTTGGCAAGTCTCCGGGCCCCAACGGTATACCGAACAGGGTCCCGAGACATTTTCCGGGCGTGCGATAACCCTTCTCACGAAAGTGTTCAACGCGGTCCTCCGTATACACCACTTCACCTCGGTATGTTCAAGATATTGTTAGCTCTTAGGAGCACTGTAAAATATTCTTGAGGTTCTATAAGAGGCAGACAATTTCCTGACTAGCTCAGGAACTATCATCTTCTGAATTTCAGCAAGAAATAGATGCAAACAAAACTCCTATGAGTCACTACATATTTTGTTGAGAAAATTTTCTTATTTGTTTCAGCTGACTGCATCAAGAAATGTTCCCTGAAGGACCCAGAATTCAATGCGTGCGCCTTGAAGAGTGCCAGAGCTGCAATTCCACACCTCATTAACGGTAAGTACGCTATAATAACTCCAGGAAAGATAGGATGTGTCCGTCTGTCTTTTACTTCAAAAGCTACTCTAATTTTAGAGAGTTATGAACAAGTTCCAATTTCTGAAGTCCCTCAGGTCCAATTATAGTTATGATACAGAAATTTAAATTACTAAAGCCACAAGCAGGTAAGCAGATAACAGGGGTCCCCTTTTGGAGGTTTGTTGATCTATTTAGACATTTGGTAGGACAAGTGACCAGCCTATCGCAAGGCCTCCAACTGTACACAGGATAGCACAACATAGAAAGACGCGGACAAATATCCACGGCTTGAGTGGGATTCGAACCCATGGTCCCAGCGACTAAGCGGCACAAGGCCCACGCCTCAGACCGCGCGGCCACTGGACACCCCGACTGAGGACATTAATTAACACTTCAAGTATAAAAACTGGCTTTCTGATTCATAATCACTGCAGCGCCATAGTGGCCAAACTGGACTATCAAGGTGATTCGGCGTACTGAGTTCAAGGACATTCGAGACATTCGAGACATCCCATTTATATTTTTGCAAAGCATCTTTTTGTTAAATTCTCCATGGTTCATTCCCTCTTAGTACATGTCATATCCACTGCAATTACCACTAATTCACACGAGCTATTTGACAGCGTAATCGCCTTATGAAAACTAGTTTGAGTAAAAACTTTCAATCATTAGTCGGGGGCAATTATCTGTCAATCTATTGCAAAATTCGTGAGGTCTCATGTTCACGTATGAGCCCCTCGAGACAATTTCCAGGACAGTTCCTTAAAAGTAGGCCACAAACGCCTTCCTCCAAGCCCTTTCCAAGTAATCTTACATTGATAGTCTTGTCATCCATCGCTAAACAGCTAACAGAGTTTCCCAAACACTTTCTTTGACGCTATCACTGAAGCACAAATGATATTATAACACCATAACTATTTTACATTTAATTGATTATCTTGGATTAAACATAATGACAAACACTTCTGTATTTTCACAGTCATAAAGGTTTTATGTATCATCTCCATGAAGAATCCAAAGAACATTTCAGAAAGTTAAAAAAGATTTAAATATAAATTTTGAATAGATTATTTTTGTGTTGAGTTTGTCGAATAGAAAGTATTGAATGCAGTTTCACGACCTTTTAAGTATTTACATTTGCTCTTATTGATAACATTTCTTTAAAACAATTTGGTGTGCTTGAAATTATTTATATTTTATAATTATTATTTGCGTTAGAATTAGCGTTATTTACTACATTCAGTTTATGAAATAAAGCTAATATATAGGCTTTTGGTAGTTTAGTTTAAGAAGTATCTGGCTATTATAAATGTATGGCGTTTGCAGGAGGCATTCACACTGAAAATCACTAAAGTCTGTCCAGGAAGACCACAGTTTTTTTAAAAGAAAATAAGGAAATTGGTCTGACCTTGGTGGCAGTTTGTGAACACACAGTATGCGACAAATGTGAAAAAAAGGTTTACATTACTGAAGGCAAGGCAGTTCTCTCTCCATACAGAAACAAGTTTTGGGTTCTTCGTACTTATCGAAGGTTCAGATAAGCAGGTCTAATGCGGTCAAGTTAACGGTAATTAGGGCATTCCTCCCAAAAGTCCTGAAGTGGTTGGATGTACGAAGAGAAACCGATCATTACCAAATGAACAAGACAATTTTTATAAAAAGAGCTGTTCATATAGTTCTCTATGAACCCACGTAATTGTTATACCAACTCAACTGGACGTTTAAGAACTTTACCTTTTGATAATTATATTACAACCAAACACAACAGAGGTAAATCGTGGTGTGCTTGTATTTCCTCGCACAATAAACTAGATTTAAAGGGCGAGCTTTTACAGAGTTCACGATCTTTACGGCCTGTTTCAGCACTAATTAATTATGTAGAACATCACGTAATATTATTTTCTCTATGAAAGATGCAGGCGAGAATATTACATTTACTTCATCGTATCCAAAATAAAAACTGCTTTAAGTGCAAAGTCCCAGGTTTCACTGCTTTCAATGATTCTCGACGTTCTGTAAGAAACCACACTGTTAACAGCTAAGCCCGTAAATTATAATGAATTCTTCACTGGCTACCAGCTGCGTCAGGTGGTTGAACCAACGTTTCGAGAACCATCTTCGTCCTCGTCCCTGAGGATGAGGACGAAGATGGTTCTCCGAACACCGTGAAAGATTCAGATCAAAGCCCGTAAATGCTTGTTACCATTCTGTTCATAATCTTCCCGCTTAAAATTTAAGAAAATAACTCCACTGATCTGAGTTCTTCTGACGTCAAAAGTACCTCAACTTGTAGTAAATTTTAGGTCCATTACACTGTTCACAAGAGCAAGTCAGTGCGTCCTATCCTAAGTACACCCAGTCCACATTATAGTACCCTATTCCTCTAAATTGAATCTTTAAGTTATGCTCTAATTCACGACACAAATTAATCTGTTAAAACATCATTCAGCAATGTCAGATACAACTTTACATAAATATGAACACATGTAACATTAATATTAAAATATATAAAACTATAAATATAACCACTGAATTTTATGACTACTGTGACTGCAGGATGTGATAACTTAGACCGAGAAAAATAAAAATCATTTACTTTTAGTGCCTGGCCAGATAGCGTGGCGTGGTGGCCGAACTGGAAAAACAAGATGATTCCGCGTTCTGTATTTAAAGACGTACGGGACACTTCTCATTTCAGTTTTAGCGGGACAGTGGAACGTGATTTACAGTCGCCATGAATACGTCCCTCTTGCTTCTCGTACTTGCCAGCGCCACGGCTCTCAAATTACGTAAGTACTTCATACACACTCCTCTACCAAAAAGGCAATGATTCTGAACTCGTATAACAACCGGCAGATAATCCTCCATCTTGACAGTTGAGCGAGGACTACTAAATCCCCTAAAAATATTTAGAAATTTTACGCAAACAGTAATGAATTCTTTGCTCGTTCATGGGTTATTTAACGATTCTGTTTCAAACGTAGATGACATAAAGTGATAAAATTATTAACTTAGGTATTAAATAAGAAAGTAACATTTGGTAAGAATTACTAATGGCCTACCTTATTTTAATAATTTTGCATTTGTTTCAACCTGCTGCGAATAAATAAGATAGGAAAAAGAACTCAACAAAAATGCACATCCTGAACAGAAGGCTAGACTATCCGCGCTACACTAATCAACATCATGAATAGTTATGAAGTTCATGGCATTCGAATACTGACGGATTTTTTATTTTCTTACTAATGCAATTTTGTTCCTCGCCTTAGCCGCACGGTCTGAGGCATCATGATTTGGACCGGTGATACGGAATGCGCGCTCACATGTCACTCTATATCTAGTTGGATTTTCGTTCACCTCTGCTTAGGCATGTGAACATGAGGCCAGCAGCCAGCTACTTGGCTTTGACACTCAGAGGGATGTTACGCCACGGAATACAATTTTATCACTTCACATAGTGATTTAGAATCCTTTCCTTTTTTAAGGAAGAGCAGAGGCTTGTGATACCACCTTACTCTTGTTGTGTGTATCGTCTTTTCATGTCCTTATCCGTTCGATAGATCATATTTAAACCTGGTAAAACGTCCGCTTTTAAGATGAACAAACCTTATACTTCGTTGTTACAATCGTTAATGACCAAACGGCGGATGTATAAAATTTTTAGCGCCATGATCATAAAAGAACGAAATAAAAGTTCTTCATAAAAATTTAACTTTTAAGGTAACTCGGGATTACTAAATTTCTAGATTTTGTCCATTGTCTGGTATTCAACGGAGTAAAATAATTCGGAAACTGGATCTATTTACGTTCTCAGGTGAATACGAAAGGGGCCCTGCTCAGTTGGGCCCTTTAGAAAGAGTTAACCTCGGTCTATGGCCCAAGAATTTAGTAATCTCGAGTTAAAAACTCCATAGTCTGAACCCTTAAAATTTACTTTTAAGTTAACTCTTTCGTAGGAAGTAAAATAGTAAAGTGGTGGTCGTGCCTATTCCTGATTTACCTATCAGTCTGACAGCGATAGTGCATGAAGCATTGAAGATATGTATACAATAACTCATTTTGATTAATTAAAAAGTAAATGAAAAATATTTGCCCATTTGTGTATTTATTGTTTTTCTTTCAGTTTGATACTTTGCGTATCTATGTTTAGCCTCCCGAAGGCAATCTGCCGGGTGAAAAGGCTTGCGTGCTCAAATGACCTTTAGGGCTATGTCGGCCGGAGCTTCGGCTCATGGTACGGTCACCCAAGCCAAGGCAATGCGCTAGATTAAAAGTGATACGCTGGACCTCAAGGTTGGGGATTGGGCGTAAAAAATCATTGTTACGAAAAAATCAACTAAGCCTCGGATCAGGATGGACTCTTTGGCACGACCACGGCAATTGAAAAGGGATATGAGATTTGGTACTTGGAACATTAGGAGCATCAATAGGGCTGGGGCACTGAAATCAGTGAGTAGGGAACTAGAGAATTATAAGTTAGACTTAGTGGCAGTGCAGGAAGTGCGATGGGAGGGGGAGGGCACGATCCCAGTGGATAATTTCACATTTTTCTATGGAAAGGAGAATGACAATCATCAGTTAGGGACGGGGTTTCTTTGTTCATAGCAGAATTAGGGCAG